AGCAAGAAGAGATTTAAAGATCAGTGAGATGTCTAGAAATGCAGACACACTCCTGAGCACACAAACCTTTTTCCCATGTCACATTCTCCCACATTTGTTTTCTTCCAAAGTAGTTTCATTGATTTCATTGGAATTACTTCTCATTTATGATGCTGGTCTCGGAGTGTTCTCAAAGTGATGTCTTCTGGGGTCACTGTTGCTTTAGAAAATTAAGGTAGGGGCAAGCATACTTTATATAAAACCAAGGTAGTCTCCCTCTCACCTTAAAATCTAGAGAAAACAATTTGGAGAAAGCAAAACTTCCATATAAGGCTGAATTCCTTTGTTTCCTGTTTTTCATTTCAGACATAGTGATTCTGGGAAGTATTAATTCATAACTCTAAAGAACTTGTCGATGTAATTTTCAAGGTTGGAGGTTTCTTATTCCTTTCAGTGTTTATACTGGTGTCTTTTTTTAAGGGAGGATTTAGTTTTGCAAAGGGTCAAGCTTTGGTTTTTAGGTATATCCCATAACAGGATTCAGATCTTCTTTCCACATTCTTTCTACTAGTGCAGACGTTCCCACTGGGAATGCTTACAGTAGATTTTTTTCTCAATTTAAAAAGCAGTGCTTTCTTGAAAGGGCTTATCCTGAGCCTTAAACCTGCTCCTCTGCCTTTCTCCAGGCTGTCTATTGGTAGATGGATTAATGGCTTTTGCATGGACATTTCAAAATCACCTGGTAGGTGACACTGCAGTAGTGTATGACCCCATTTGGTCTTAGATTGGTAGACTATGTCATCACTGAGGTATATTTTCAAAGATATACCTTCATTAATGAGGTGGAACTACACATACATCCATGGTGGGTCACGTCATGTGGCCTGGCTGCGTGACAGCTATTTTCTAGTGTGCATTTTGTGATTTATGACAGAAACATTTCATGCTTAAGATACACACCCTCTGAAAGTTTTCAGAGTTGAAATGAATGAAATAATAGATAGAAAATACTTCCACTTGATTATAGGATCAAAAGTTATCCGTTTAAATCTCTGTGAAAAGTGATTTTATTTTGAATACTACTGTAAATCCGCTTCTGTCAGATTAGTACCATGTCAAATAGGAGCCATAAGTGTTTGTGGTATCTTGCTCTTCTTTCATCCAGGTGAGTTTTCCACAGGACTACATAAGAGACTCTGTCCCATAAAGACTTAAAATTCTCCCATTCCTGCAGGAATAGGAATATGATATGGCTGATTGCAACAGTATGACGTTGGGCACTCTCTGATCTGGGAAGTCCCCTCAAATCTGTGTACCTTCTTCTGTGAGCTCAGCAGTACCCACTGGAATCTCTCCTGATTGTCAGGAAATTGTGTACAAAGGACACAAAATGTTAATTTTCAGACATAATTATAGAATCTTACACTGCATCAGGAAGAGGAGTTTTGATGAGAACTTAATTCCAGCATGTAAAGTGCCTGAACTGAAGGAGAGCTGCTTCTTAGAAAGTCTTGCCTATTTCTATTAGGATGGTATTTCCTTTCTCTTCCATACCCTCTTCCTCATAGTCACTAATGTTGTGCAGCCACCACCAAAATTTTTTTTTTTTTTTTTGGTCATGCTCAGTTAAAGGAGTGCTCTATGGAGCACTGACTGTCCTGCTTGGCAGGCATTCTTCATTTTCTGTGAGCTTTCTGCTACTAAGAGCCATAGGTCTGTGATACAATCAAACACTTGGCAGTGGAAAGCTGCCATGAATAACACTCCAGCTTTGTAGCCTTTGTCACTAATCAGCTCTCAAAAAAGCTCTTGGAATTAGGTGAATGAATAAAATATTGCTTGAATATTTCTCTCTTCTTTAGAGCCGACTGTGTAAAAAGAGAGCATCTATGTAAATAACCTTCCTCAGATTTAGATTTTCATTCTCATATTGGAATCTCTCGTGTGATAAACAGCAAGGCTACTGCTCAGTATGCGCCAACACCTGAGAATAATCATGCAAAAATAACAGTGAGAAACTGCAGAGCATCTGTTCTTGACATTAACTTTCCTCAGTTTGACAGGCTGCCACCACCAGATGTTAGTCTTATGTGCCTTTTTTCCACTGGAGATGGCGGCCTTCCTGCCTCTCTCTTTGCCTCTAATAGCTTACATCAGTGCCCTTTGGAGAATTCATGAAAACAATTGTGTCACCACAAGGATCGCTGAGAACCACCACTTTGCTGTGCTGATGTTACGATTATCAAACATGATGGGATAATTTTAAAACATGGAAAACTGGGCCAATATTTAAGCTCAGCATATTTTTTTTTCTAACAAGTAAGGTCATTATTTGTGCAATGAACATGAACCTCAGGGACAGTAAATGTCCACTTAGTTCTAGACCAAAGGCTTAGTGTTTTAATTCGCAGAGCAACAGCCCCTTTTACTGCAATAGCCACTCTTTGGCCTTGTCCTGTGTGAGTGCTTCTAGTGGAAAAAATGAATGTTTATTAGCAGGTCTAAATAAACCAGAACTGAGTACAAATATTTGTAACCACGAATTTAGTAGGGTATGCTGTCAGATCCATGCTTTCTTTAGCTCCCCCTCACTGTTTATAATACTTGGAAAATGGAAGACACATCTGCCAATTTAGTCTATGTTCATTTAAAACATTGGCTAGTTTAGTATGATAATAGCAAACATTTTGTTTTTCCTCTGGCTTTGTGATGAGTATGTTTTATGGAAGAATGATGTTGCATGTGTAGTAGGAGTTTTTGCACAGCTTTACAAAACACCATGTAAACTATCAAACGGGCCATTCATCAGCATTTCTTGGTTTTATAAAGGGACATGGCTTAGCTTTTTGTAAGCACTGGGCTCCATTTACCTACCAGTTACTGATCCAGGTTCTCTTCTGACTTGAAGTAAGATATGTTAAGAAATCCTCTAAATTATTCCTGGGGCACGTATTGCCTCCGTTTCGTTGAGAGAGCCCCATTACGCTGCCAGGGAGCAGGGCACTGTGCCATCCAACTGTTTGCCTCCACTTGGCATCAGACAGCCAGAATCTGTATAGCGTAGAATTAGTGTCCCCCCCGTACTAGGCATACATGGTTATGTTTTTATGCTACACTTACTATTAGATACTGCAAGTAACAGCTGCTGTTGGGGGTCAGTTGATACTTGACTTGTCTGTGTGCATTCAAGTCTGCTCTGCAAAGCATTCTTGCCTGTGCTTTAACCCTGCAATTGTGATGGCATGAAGAGAAGAATAAAGATATCATTGCTTGACTGCATTGTTTTTATGGCACAGGAACTCTGCTTTACGCAGTAGAATTTTGCTGGTATTAGCAGGTTTTTACTCCTAATGGATGCTTTTAGTGTTCACTTTTGCTTTGTATTTTTTTTTCACTTTGTTCTATCTCTAACCTGAAGATTATTTTAGTCCTAAATAAAAAGAACCCCCCCCCAAAATGGGGATGAGTTTGGAGAAGAATGTGGTTCTAGGTCCCTCCTCTTTCCTCCCTAGTTCTAGTGTAATTGAGATCAGAACCCAGGCAGGTCATACAAAGATCATACAAACATTTTTTGTTAAATATTTAGCACACTTAAGGCTTCTATGCACGATTAAAAGTGTTGGCTCTCAGTTTGTATGTATGAATGACACTCAAAGAAAAAGAATTGTTACAAAGGCCAATTGTAACAATTGTTACAATTTTTATAAAGTTCTTTTTAATTTTAGATTTCCATTTTATTTTTTCTTTATGAAAAGTGGCCATGTGATGAAGTGAGCTGATGTGATACAAAGGATATATAATACAAGGATAATACTCTTTAGTCCTTTCTTCTCTTTGTATCCCCATTTGCCAACTTGGCTTTAGAAGAAGGCAAAATTAACTTTGATCTACACTAAGATACATTTGAAAGAAACCTAGATGACAATGTACAGTGAGTCATTATGTCTTTTCTGTTGAGTCTTCTTACAGGGTCCAAAATTAAAAACAGCATAGACTTAAAGATGTTTGATCATCTATTTGAAAGCAGCTATAAAGCAGCCATTTTTTTAAAATCACTGGATTGAAGAATGATTTCTTGGTGTGATATCTATGATCCTGTGGGCCAAATAAACATGAGTTTTAGGTGGGTTAGCTGTTTGAGTGCATACACTCATATCCTCATTTAGCTATCTTTTATGTGACAAAGGACCTTATGGCCACAGTAAAATACTGAGAGCCCTCAGGCCAAATCTGTATACGGAAAATCTGCCACTGGGTATATTGGAAGTCATATGGGAAAGATAACTTCTTCAGTTCATATATAGATATTGTCTCTGTGTGAATTGTCTGTGTACAGACTGATTGTCTGGCAAGTTGTATTCTTCCAAATACGCATTTTGGAAACCCTGAGACATTAGATAGATTCTTGTAAAAGTCCTCATCTGTTATTTCAAGTAGGAAGATGTAAATGTTATCTGTAAGCTGTTAGGTGGGTGATCCTGATGTATTTTAAGTGATTGGATGACAAGATATTATATTTGATGCCATATGGATATTAGAATTGTTCCAAGTGCTAATTTGTCTGTGATGCACATGAAAAAATGGCATTTATATGTCTTTGTACTGTCTTTATAAATGTTTTTCTTTAAATAGAAAATTAAGTCCCCAGTTTGCAAAATTAATTTCCATCCACAAATCAGTCTCTGTCAGCACCAAGAAAAAAGTGGCCTTAGTCCTTGTTTTTAAAATGTATTATTATTTCATACTAGCAGTCTATGACAACAGGGAATAGTCTTGTAGAAACTTAGCAATTTGCCTTGTTTAGCATGATAGATATTTTTGTACTTAATTTTTCATGTGCAGCATTTGGGCTCATGTCAAAAAAATTAAACTCATACGACTGAAATTACCCATGATACACCAAATCCCTGCATACACAAATGCAGTCTCAGCAAACTGGGCTTTCTTTTTTTTTTTTTTTAATTTATCTTTTTTTTAAAATCTCACAGCACCATTATAGTAAGTTTGTCTGTTGTTTTCAGGTTGATCCCCTGTTTACAGTGCCTGCACCTCCACCTCCGATTTCCAGCAGTATCACACCTCAGATTCTGCCTTCCTACTTTTCCCCATCTTCATCCAATATTGCAGCACCAGTCGAGCAGCTTTTGGTACGGACTCGTTCAGTGGGTGTAAATACTTGCGAGGTTGGAGTAGTAACAGAACCCGAATGCCTTGGACCCTGTGAGCCTGGGACCAGCGTGAACTTGGAAGGAATTGTGTGGCATGAAACTGAAGAAGGTAAATTGTTTTTTCCATTAGGTTTGTCTTGTAAGATATGTTAACAAGGAGGAGACTTTGTTGTACCTCCCTGGGCTAACTAAGGGCTTGCTAGTCTGTTGGGACACCATTATGTACAATGGCAGTCACAGCTTTATAGCTCAGCTACTAAGTTTTTCTTTTAAAAACAAATGGCAGGGTTTTTTATTTTCCAAATGACCTATCCTGTAACCCCAGTTAATAGAATTGTTTCCGATTGCTATATTGATAAAAGCATATGAAGCTAATACAATAACATAAATGTGCTATTTAAATGTACATCATGAGGTGGGTATATGTGATGGGAGTGGATACATGAATAGTTTAGATGAAAACTTAGAAAGCTGAGTATTTCGGAATTCAGATGCTATGATAAAAAATGCCACCATTACGTAACAGGAGAAGCCCCAGAGACCCCGCAGAAATTAAATTTGGTGTGATTATTGTTAGCATTTTGGTTATTTGAAACATGCTTTAAGAGGAAAGCATTGTTGCTTGAAGAGAAGTGTTCCATCTGGTGAAGAAGTGCTATCTAAACCAGAGTGATTTCTTTAATATCCTTTGAAGGCATTTGGCCAAGTAGGAGTGCGGGAGAGCTTTGGGGAATACTAAACGTTTATTTGCTATGATTTAGAGCAAAGTAAGTAGGAAGAGGATTATTCTGTGATATGCAGATTTTTCCATTTTGGTTTTCAAAAGCTCATTATTAAAATACCAGCTTTCTCCTGTTAGCGCTAAAAATACTGCACGTGTACACTAAACTTCTGCAATTTTTGGTTTAATAATAGTGGATGTCTCCAGTTACAGCTGCTTGAGAGTCTTCCTGTGATTGTTCTTATGTTTGTTTTGAGGATTATTTAATTTTTAGTGATCTACCTCCCTCAGCAGTGAAAACAAGATTATTTACAAAAGGATATAATGAAAGAATACAGCAGCGCATTGCTTCATGATAAATCCTGACATCCTTCAGACATACACACCACGGCATTTGGTCCTTTGCAGTGATATATAAGACCTCACCAATGTGCTCTACACTGTCCTCTCAAAAATCAATAGAGTCAGATTTACTTGCTTCTATATGCTTTCATCCATCCATCTTTCTCTCTATGTATGTCTACAGCAGATTCCTAAGGTAGATTGATCCTTTTAGATTGTTTTTAAAGCACAGTATAAATTCTGTTTTAAAATATCCCTGCAGAGATGACTGCCCTTAGCAAGTCCAATCTTCCTTGACTGGCCTGTATTAACCAGAGTTGGAATGTGTGGGCGTTAACTGTGTTGACATGAAAGAGCAGTAGCTGTTAATAGTGTTATTCTTGCTGAATAAACTAAACTTCTGACCCCCACTGAATTTAAGAAGCCTGCCTTGTTAAAGGTTTGGCACCAGAAATGAAGTATTAAAAAAAGTGCATTCTGGTCAGGATGACATTCCATTTACGAGTTTCTCAGCACTCTACTGGTTTAAAAACTCTTGTTAGTTAATAGAAATTACCTCCCTTAACCTTTTCCCAGTTTGTCTAAAACAATTTTCTGAAACAACTCAAGAGTTCAATGACAGCATGTTTGAGGGAAATGGGTTTGAATGTGCCTGTTTTCACAGCTTTACAAATACTGTTTGGTGACACTATAGATATGAGTGGCTACAATAACAGATAAAATGGGATTCTAAAATGCTCTAGAAATATAGCTAGAATGTAGATTAAGAGACTGACGATAATTGATATGATTTCATATTGTATGGTTTGTACTGTGCTCTTTGTGTTTTACTGTTTCAGACCCTGCTGACTGAAGAAAATAACATTAATTTTACTGTTTTTCCCAGTGTTCACAATCAACACTGTATTATGAAAAATGAGTTCCTAATGATCATTTTTGCATTTTAATTAAGTTTTGACATTTGGGGCACACATATATGTATATATTTAGCTGTTTTCAAATTTTCTGACATGTTCATGAAAGCAGCTATATAGCAGCTTATGTGAAGCCATTTCTGCCAAATTTTAGAAAACAGGGTGCAGATGGGTCTTCTATTTATCTTTAACAGAAGGAAGATTATCAGATACTCATTTTCTCCAGTTATGATTTTGACTTTAATTAGGCCAGAACATGACCTTTCCTAAATTGTTGTAAATCTAGAATACTCTAACTGAAATCTTTGTAATTGGTGACATCTAAAACCATCTTCATGTTCACAATGACCAACTGAACTACAAATTTATTTTGTGATGCCCCTATGTTTCTTTCATATTCACTCCCTTCACTGCTTTCCAAAACCTAGTATAAACACACAGGCAAACTTACATCTATCTAGCTGTCTCTATATCCGATAGCTTTGTAACGTAAAACAGTCCTAAGAAGCTAAGGTATGACAATTTCTGACATTTGCTTGTGTTTTGAGATATTTGAGTTATTTTGTATCTGATTTAGCCACTCTGTAAGATGAGTTGTGACGTAATTAGCATAGGCTTGTAGGATGTCTGCATACTCTCTGGCATATGAGAACTACGAACCAAATATGCTGCTGAGCAGCCTTCATGCTGCAGCAACTAGCTGTGGGAATGCAAATACAGAAAGGATGTGGTGATCACAGTTATTATGATAAGAATAGTATAGTGAGTAGAGGAAGATGAAATCAGATAGTTTATGTAGAACTCATTATTAAATGTAATACATGCTTTATAGAGAAGGCGTATACTTGAGAATTCATGTTTTGAAGGTTTTTGGTATCTGAAATAAGCAGTTTTCTTTTTGGAATGTTAAACAAGTTGTCACATTCTGTTGCATTTGTTCTTCAAGGTCAGAAAAAGGATGATGTTTGGTTTTACTAGTCATATTTTTAAGATAATCACTCCAAAGGGGAGGCTGGGGGGGAATAGCCTTGGATTTCAGACAAAACCGTGGCAGATCAAAGAGAGTGTTGTTACTACAGCTCTTTTCATTTATTCCACACCAATCTATTCAGTTGACTTGATCAGCAGATTTAATAAATGGGGCCATTTTTTCCCAGAGTGTTTCAATCTTAAGACCTGTAGAGGGAAGCCGGCATCTGAACTCTGCCACATTTTATTACAGGGCTTTGTAACTAACCATAGCTGGTTACTCATATAACTGACTGAGACTGCTGGTTATCATGTGGGCATTTCTCAGTTGCGATACTAAGTTGTGTAGTGTTTAATTTCTACATATGTACGCAGTAGGCATGTTCATCTGCATAACACCCTTGTTTGGATATGACTGATAATGTGTCCAAAGTGGTGTTAATGGCTGTAGAAAATACTGAAGGAACTAGTTGAGGCTACCCTGTAGTATTGGAATGAGAAATGGTTATGGGCAAGTCAGCCTGCAAGTTGGCAGCTGATGCGGATATTTGACACTAGAAACTGCCATCCAGTAACAGTAAAGTCCTTTACAAAAAGCAGCTTGGTAGTGTTACTGGAGTGTATTTTTTTGTTTGGTTGGTTCTTCTGATACTCTGGGAAACAGCTGCTAAAAGTCTGTTTTTCTATACTGAGAAATAAGGTTTATCTAGAATCAGGTACTTGCTAAATCGTGTAATTATCTTCTGGGAAAACAGTTTTGAAGAGAGCAGTAATTGTTTCTTTCTGCCTGGAGGAAATAAAAATGACCCAGAAAAAAGGGAAACCACCAACTAACTTTCTAAATTGCTTAGAGCTTGCTTTTTTGTTTAGTTTCTCACATGCAGTTGCCCTGGGTCATGTCCTGGTTTTGGTTCTGCATCAAGTAGTAGAGTTTGCCTTTATATGTGGGAAGCACTAGTTCTGATGATGTCTTGTTTGCTTGAAAACTGTGTAGGAGACAGCCATCCGTCACCTTGCAGTCTTTGTGCGCAGAACAAGCTGTCTATATGCGGAGCTGGAGTTCTCACACTGCTGCACTGACATTCTTCCTCTTTGTGCAGTTTGGGTACAACTTGTTGTTGTTCAGTAACAAGTAATGGGGAAATGAGTTGTATTTTTTGAAGCGTCCTCTTCCCAGGGTTAGCTTGTTGATTTTTGTAACTTGAGAGTAGTAGTCAAATGTAAGAAATAGGAATCTGCTGGATCTCAGAAATCTGATGGGATCATCTCCAGGGTATTCCAAATTTATCCTAGGATCAGTTCTGACAGTGTTTTGCAGAAATTTTCAGTAGAAAGGAGAACGCTTAGATGACAAAGAGGCATGCTGGTACTTGTTGTGTATGGGTTTCCCAGCCTGCCACATTTGCAACTAATATGCATAGATGTTGTTTTGAAAACGTACAGAGCTGATGTGGATTCCTCCCTGCCTTACTATGTGGTGTTAATTTTGCAAAAACTATTTTAAAAGAACAGTCTGTTTTAAATGTCCTTGGTTATATATCTGTGTTTGTACATGTGTGTATAAGTAAGGGTGTGTATGTGTCTATAGAAATAGAAGAATGAGAAGTAGTCTGACTGCCTCTGATTCCCTTCAGCAATTTCTGTGGTTTAACAACCATGTTTTCCTACTTTCACAAATATAAAAGGCATGATGAAACAATGAAACTTGCAATATTGGAAGCCATGTCAAACATGTGAGTAAAAAAATGCAGAAAATAAAGATTTTTTAAAAAACTGTTTTATTAATGTTAAAATAATTCATAGAAATTCAGATAAACATGATTAAATCATAGTTGTCTTCAGCTCAGGCAAGGTTTATAGAAAGAGGTAATATCCTCTGTTAAACCAAGTGATACAGTTGTAAAAAACAGGTAAGCTTTCAAACAGGGTGCATTTATATTCTGTCCTTTCTGTGTGATGGAGACCATTGACATAAAGGAAGCAGTGGTTTGGTGTTGTTAACCACCATACTCAGTTCAGAATTGGAAGACAGTGGGTATTTTTGTAGGAGAGAAGCATAAAGATATCCATTGCTCAAAAATCAGGCTTTGTTATGTTCATGTTACAGAGAAACGGTTTGTAGAGAAGATAGTTCTTTTGGCTGGCTACGTTAACAGAACCTAA